TCTTTGGCATCTGCATTCAAAGTCCTACAGTGTTTATCCTAACTTCAATGCAGCAGCATCATTTTTGTATTTATACCAGATACTTTGGGAGAGTGAAGTATGAGTATGATGTTAGAAAGACGTTATGGTTCTACACTCTTAGGGAAAGGGATTTTTATATTTCAATAATTTTTACATCTTTAGTTCATCTGTATTCAATATTTTTACTTATAACTTAAATATTTGTTTTTCATTATAGTTGTTATCTAATCCTATTACTTTTTGAAGTCATTGCAGAATTTCTGCCATGTTTTGGGAATTTATTTCTGGCTAACAAATTGTCTATTTTAGTTGCCTTCTTCGTGTTTGTCACGAAGTTACAAACTTAGTTCAAGAATATGAACTAACCCTATGATTTGATTTACCATTAGTAGATTAACACTTTGTTCATAGGACAGTTATAGAAAAAAAAAATCTTTTCTTTTCATACTTGGCAGGAAAATAAAGAAAATGTTTTTATTTTCTGTATTTCTAATATCTAGATTAAACTTAGGTTTTCCTAGGCTTTGTCAGTACCTCTTTAAGTTAAAATTTGAAAGTCTGGTATTTTTCATCTACAAAATGGTTAACTACAGAAAATTCAAAGGAGTCACAGAATAAACTTTTACAGATTAGATATGCAGGTTTTATTTGACAACATAACAAGAAAACATAGCCCAAAGAGCAGAAAGAAAGAAGAAGGAACTGTTAAGGGGAGACAAGTATGCAGATGAAAGAGACAGTGTACGACAGTGATGTACAACCACTGTCTATTCACTCAGTAGCAAAAGATACATCATAATGTTGCAGCTCAATTTTTTCATTTCTCCCTTTTGCGGGGCTGAAATTGTTTCCCAGCTGCCTAGAGCCTTTTGATCTAGAGTGTGTGTCTTTAGCAAAACAAGATTTGCAGCTCCTTAGAAACAGGAGTTCCTGGAGGTTACAGTCTGCCCAGCTGAGTTACCTTCATGGATACACCTCACTGAGTTCAAGAGATTAAGATATGCATTCCCCTTTTGATTAATATAAATAACTGATTATAAGTATTCACATAATAAACAACCAATAATTTGTGTAACAGCCAGACATAGGTCAGAGCCATCTCACATTGCCAGTAACAAATAGCACCTTGGTGCAGATGTAGATTAGAGTCATATAAAAGCTTCATTACAGTTTTCAAGGCAAAATTTTATGCCAAATCCCTGAAATAGACAAACATGGCAGGCCAGTTGTGTTGCCATGCAAAAAGTTCCAGCCTCAGACCATATTCCTAAAATTTTTACATTGGTTTTGTTTATCGGTCCTGTGTCTTTCACAGCCACTGTAATTTCAGAAGCATTTACTTTATTTTTGAAAGCAACTTTACCATAGTGAATTAAGTATCACTATAAAAGATTTTGTTTGTTCTTGTTGGCAAGTATTCAGAATTTTGTAAACTACATGTTGATGCCTCTGTCAATTAAATTTAATCAAAAATATGGCAAAAAATTAAAGGGTCTCTAAAGAACTTTTTAATGAAGGAAATACCATTTAAGCAATGCTACTGGTAAGTTAGTTTACAAACTTAGCTGCCTTGCTATCCAGGTCACCAAAGTGGCCTGCAAGTGCTGACATTTGGACCAAAAAAACAGTCCTGCTCCACATGCACTCTTAGGTCTGTTCTCTTTAGAGCAGTGAACACTTTAAACCAGTACTCCTTGAGCTCCTCCCTCTTTGAACTTCTGCAAAGTGAACTCATCAATGCTGTAAAATTTAGTTGATGTAAAACATCACATTGAAATTTTGCATTTAATCTTCAGTCCTTCTGATACGGTACAAAGAGTTAGTGTTTGCTGATGAGGAAGATGTTGTCCTTTTCCGTTTTTACTTCAAATACAAACTTTGCATTTTTTCCTCTCCAAAAAAACCAAAAAAAATTTTTAAAGACCTGGTTAAACTAGACAGTTTAGTGCAGCTGTAGGACCCTCTTCAATGTTAAATATTCCTGATCAGAAACCAAATACACTATAGAAACAACAATACATTTTACCCGTAATTTGGTCTGCACTTGAATTCATGAACAGTCTTCTGTAGCACACTGCAATTACTGTCAACTGATGCGTTAGATAGACAAAAGTAAAGAAAAATAATTTCTGGAACTGGCTCTTTGACCTCTATTTCACTTGATTCAACTTTGAGACTTGGATATTTTGTTAGATATTTTTATATATAAAGAAGTAAAAAAACATAAAATAGTGGTCAGGGAAAAAAATTCTGATTTATTCAGCTTCGTGCTAATTATACCAGTAAATTTACAAGGAAAAATGATTTTCAAGATCCATGTGAAACTAAGTTAACTGAAACAGTCTTGCTGACATGATTGTCCAGATAGTGGCATACCACAAAAAATAATCTGGATTGATTAAAACCAAGGAAAATACCAGAACTGCAAGAGGTTTTGAGAATCATTTAGCATGAAATTCAAATGGATAATACTGGACTATAGATATATTTGCTTTTCTATCTTTTATATGTTGAGAGAGATAAGTGACAGTGGAGCACACACGAACAAAGATACAGCTCTGAGGATAGGAAGAGCATCTCTAGTTGTTCATTCAAATACAAACCCGGTTAATTATGATGCAAATGCTTTGGAACGTTCTTCATTATTTAGTTTACATTTTGATGTTGATAGTGATATGTATTTTAAGCTAAAAACATAGGACCATGTTTGTTCAGTGTGGTTTATTCAGTGAGGTTTGTTCAGTGAGGTTTTTATCTTATTCATTCTGCAAACTGACGTTAAAAAAAAGTATCAAAATATATTATTGATGGTGCTTTTTTTTCTCTAACAATGTAAATAACTCCCAGTTTTCTGAGTGGTTAAAGATGGTGTTTGCTGACATTATAATGCAAAATGAGGCAGGAAAGTGTTATTAGCAATCATCAACTTCAATTTATAAATCAGTTGCAACACAGTAAAAATCAATGTGCGTACCTTAAATTCTGTCATGTAAACTAGATATATCAAGCAGTTAAATACCACTTTGTGTATTTAATAGCCATGTCTGCTGTAGCAGGGCTTAGCCGCTCAGGAATCATGGCCCATCAGCTGAGCCTGAAAGAGATCCCAGAATGATTTCAGACATGAATAAGAAAACAAACAATAGGGGCACAACTGAGATCTGAAGTCTAAATTGAACTAAAGCAAGTAAAGTACTATTGGAACATGGTTTTTTTTAAACTACTTTTTGTGTAGTAGTAGTGATATCAGTAGTATGTTTTTGTAATATGTGTCATATTTCCCATTTAAGGGAAAACACGTTACTTTTTTAAGTGTTATAGCTACCAAGGGAAGAACAACAGATTATATTACTGCTGCTCTGCCTGTTAAAAGAGCTGAAGTGGGATAACTTTGAATGTGGTGGTCTCATGCATATTCAGATTTAAACCACAGAGTCATGTGAATGACACAAATTGGAATTACTGAAGTTCTATTAGTTCCATATATCCATGGATAAATTCCTGCAGGAGAGAATGACTTAAGTTGTTAATTTCATTTTAAATGCTACATACTGAAAGAGACAAAAGTTCAAATAAGTTTTATGTTCAAACTAAAACTAGACAAAAGCCAGGATATGTAAAGGATGAAAGGATGACTGTTTTATAGGAGAGGCCTAAAGGTTATTTAGAAAAGTGATTTAACTATTCTGATGTTCAGTGGCTTTTCTTCATTAAGATTTTGGTTGCTGATAAGAGTTGAAGAGAACTTTGTGTCAGGGAAATAACTCATGTTATTCTAAAGCTCCAATCGATTTTTTTTATTCATTTCTCTAATGCACTGTTAACCCCTTAGACATCCTAATATACTGATTTGAAGGACACCTATCTTAAACGGCATTGTCTGAAAACAAAGCAAAACCACACCAGAAGGATTTGACAGGGCTTAAAAGCAAAAGTCTTAGATCCACAAAAAGAGTTCTTAAGTTTTCATATATTAAGAATTCCAATTTCATCTCCAAAGCTACCTCAACCAATATCTTTTTTTTTTTTTTTAAATCAAAATCCATGAATTCTCATCACTGTGATATACTTTATCCCATGCACTGGATGTCATCATAGAAACAATGTAAGTCAAAATAGACAAGTTCTGCAATCTAAAATAATCTTTCTGAAGGAAGGTCAAACCCAACAGGAGCCTTGTTGTATCTCATCCCTCAGTGTGACATGCAAAGGACATCTAGCAATATCTTTAGAAGGCAAACCTGGGAATTGAAAGTTGTCATAGAGGCATTGTCATTTTCAATCTTATATTTTCCTCACTGTCCCACTGGTCACCTTCTATTCTATAGACACAGTTTCTCTCTTTTTGCACAGATTCTTTATTTTTTTTCCCAGTATCTTTTTCTTCTTCTTAGGTACTGTTTTGTTTTGTTTTTCTTTAGGTCTAATTAATGAAAACAGTTAGATTAAACTGAAACAGTTTTGGTTCTAATTCATATTAGGTTTTTTGTTACTGATCTACATGAGAGGATTGCATACACAACCTTTGTTTCCTTTTTCCAGTACTGTCAAATCACTTTTTGAAAGAGATCTTTTTCTGCAAATCTGACTTCTCTATAAATATCTTTCATTGATTATGAACTTGGAAAATTAACATATTTGAACTCTGGTTTATTTTGGTATTACAGGTTTAATTGTCAGTATTTACATTTATGACAACTTGGATTCAGATCTTAGGAGAACAGAGCTTACCCTGTTACACTTTGAAAACAAAACCAATCCTGCTCTGACATCTGTTTTCTTTTAGAAGTTAAGAATAGGCATTGTTTTGGTACAAATAGGTACTGGCCTACAGTTCAGAAATAAGTATTCACCTCTATCAAGATTGCAGACGAGTAGATCTGAAGGTACTTTGCATTCCTGAGAGCTCAGCCTCCTCCTGGAGACCTCTGAGCCACCAGTGATGTGCAGACTTAAGTCTGTGTCAGGCAAGGCAGCCACAGATCTTACTGCTTCATTTGGGACTGGGCATGCAGAGGGTCCTGTATTAAAAAACACACATGTATATCCTCAGACAAGAGGACATGAATCCTTAATGAACTGCAAAGATGAGAAATGTGATCATAATTCTAGTAGCCATGGCTTTTAAATGGGTTTCTCTTTTACTTGAGTTAAAATAATGCTTTTCTGTTTCTCTAAGTAGTTGAAAAGTCATTAAATATTAGAAAGATTCTTCAGTCCTTATTTGGCTTAGGTACCTTTCTCAGAAAGAATATTGGCAAAATAAGTGGTTGCTGTAATCTTCTGTGTAAACTTTTTCAGAATAAAGATTTCTGCCCTGAGCTTTCTCTAAAATTATGAGCTTTTTGGACCACGTGGCCAAGGGTCATAAAGAAAATAAGCAACAGAGCACTTGAGTAGGAAAGCTGCCATGCCAGAAGGAAAAGCACAGCACAGATGCAAACCTGGTGTTAGAAGAACTTCTAACGCACTGTTTGGAGGACTTTCTTTGGACAAGAGAGAAGGGGATAACTAAGCTTCAAATGTTCATAAAATTATTAAATTCATCAACACTATTATTTACAATTTAAAATAAACATTGCAGAAGTCATAGGTTTGCCCCTGCAGTCAGTATAATATGTATTAGATTGAGAACTTTTTAGGCAAAACAGCTTAGTAGCTCATCCTTATCTTTGCAAGAGATCGTAACTGAGAAAGGTTTTATATGCCTTTTATATGCCATTTTTTCAGTTCTAAATAGCAAAAGTGAATAATTTATATATGTTCTTGTCCAAAGTAATAGAACATAATGGAGAGAAACAAAAGGGGAAAAAAATCTCAGCGAGTTCTTCTCTTCTTAAATGTCATTTTATCTAGATATTGATCAGCTGGACTTAACTTTGCTGGACTGAGTTTATTTACATATATAGAAATTGCTTAAACAGCAAAAATAAATTACTGCATTTTATAACTTCATATTCCAGAGACAGCAATGTGCCTCTTTCTGTGATTTGTAAAACTGCCAGTGTATTTAGAATGCTAGTTCACTTCAGTAGTAGTTATGAAATATGTACCTATGAACATGGAAATTTAAAAAAATATATTATTACAACCAACTTTTAATGTGAGTCGTAGTCTTTAAAAATATTTGCATCATAAAATATAACACAGTTTTCTGAATTGTTAAATTGCGAATATAAAAAAAAAGTTCACTTTTGCAATATTTGTAGACCTAGATTTTTCTGAATTTTTCCAAAAAATGAATCAATTATTTTCATGCACATTTCACATATTCTTAGGAAATATTCTTTTGTTGCAGTACTCTCATAGGTAATTTCAGGTGGGAATTAAAACAAAATAATAATTCAAAATTATCTTTGAAACCGCAGTCTGTTTTATTTTTTAACCTTCCCTTAAATATGTAAGAGAAACCAAACACACCGCCCTTCAAAGTTATATGTTAAATGCTGACAGTAGAATGAAAAGGCTGACTCTAGTATTTCTAGGTTTCATACAAACACACTGAAATGCAGCCCAGATGGTCTCAACCAATAGTGAACACAATCTCTTAGATATGCTGCATAAATTAGGTAGTTTCAAATAATAACTCCTGTAGTTTAGATTTAGTTTTACTGTAAATTTCTTTAAAATCCTTAAATATACTTTTCCATTGCAGCATACTATAAATCTCTATTGGAAAAAGGATACTATTTACACAAAGCAAACTATCAAGCATCATTTAATACATTTTCTTTAATTTTACATTTTATCTGTGACCAGCTTTAACCCAGACTTAAAAAAAAATAAAAATTAGTTTAGTTCTTGCATAACTCTTTCTTAACTTCTTGAATATTGTCAAGTTTCAGGCATGTGTGAAGCAGATTCAAGGGATGGAATAGACATACTCATGATTTTTTTGAGAAATATGACACAGTAGTTGTCATGGGTTTACTTCTTCTAAAAAAATAAATGGGAATTTTCTTTCCCCTGCTGCAGTGTGGGGGAGGGATATTGAATGGGGAGGACAGTTTTCTGCATTGGGTGATTGACCTACACATAAGAGCTAGCTGGCAGAACTACATTCCAGGCTTATTGCCCTGTCTAAGGCTGGGGGGGGGGGAGGAGTTTTTCTCCCCTTCTCTCCTTGGAAAGAGGGACTTCACTTTTTGCCTTAACGGCGGCAAGGTGTGCACTGGAAAAGCTCTGAGGCCATTTTGCTCTTGACCTGGTCATCTGGCTGTTCTCCGGCTTCAGCTTGCTCTGTCACCAGCTACGGTCTGCTCTGTCACCAGCCGGACCTGCTCAGGTTTCATCGGAGAGTTTGTGCTTGGCGAGGGAAGGGGGGAGTCCCGACCACAGCCAGCCACAGATATTGTGAGTTTCATGGGAAAGAAACAGCCCTCCTTTCCCCTTTTTCCCCTTCCCCTTCTTGGTGGGGGGCGGAATCTCCATTGTCAGCTTCTCCCACGCACTGGGGCCTCACGCAGCGACCGCCAGAGCTGAACAGCACCGTCTGCCAGCCATCATAGAGCACTGCAGGCTCTGCTCCTCCAGTGATCCAACAGCTCCCCCTGCCAACTGTGATTAGAATCGTGCTAGAGGACAGAGAAGTATCAAACTGTTTCCTTTTTGAAGAGGACTTTTGGGTACAGGATTATTGTTTAGTTGTTTTTGTGTTCTTTTGCTGTTTTTGCCAATATACATATATTCTTTATAAAGGATTGTTATTTCTTCCTTTTTCCATACTTCCTCGATTGGAGCCTCTTAATTTCGGATTTACAGTTGCTGAGAGAGAAGAATTTGGTCTTGCTCATAACTCATCCTCCTTAGCAAAACACTTCAGTCTCATTAAACCAAGACTACTTGAACAAGTGTGTTTGGAGAAGAAGTAGTCAGCCTAAAAAAATGCAGACAAATGTAAATCTGGATCCACTGAAGTAAAAAAATTTCCATGTCCACAACAAGCTTAGGATTTTACTCAAGATTATATAAATAGAAGGATAAATTGTTGTTCTCTAGCTGTTGTCAGACAGGGCCATTTTTCTGGCCATCCTAGGAAGAGCATGTTTTGAGAAGTAATTTAAAATAGAAGGTTGAGGGCACATGAAAGTTGATGGGGTCTTTTTCCCTGCACACAGGATCAGGATGAAAACCAGAAAATGCTTGAGGAAGAAGCAAAATATTGGTGATTGAAGCAGTCTTTATTATCAGACTAAAGTAAACTGTTTGAAAAAATAATAGATATAGCGGAGATGAAAATGTCTTAGAGGAAAGAGAATTGAATTTATGTAGAAAATATAAATTTCATACAAGGAGGGGCCATACATGGGGACATACAAATGGAATTAGACAGTTGAAGTAGTGAGCCAGAAAGATGTCACAGTCTTTCTGCCTAGGAAGTGATTATTCCAACCAAGTCCAGTGAGAAATATTATGCTAGAGTAAGCAATGCTATAACTCAGCTATAGCAAGGTTGTGTTGTCCAACACGAAGTACCAAGGCTGAAAACATATTAGGATAGCATGAATAAGTGATAGTGCTATTGTTGTGACAGAAAAACCTGTGCGATAATGCTACTTTAAAGCTCAGTTCAAACATTTTATTTGTATGGGAATATCAAAAAATTTTATGAGAAGCATGGCTAGGTAAAATGAGGTAAGATTTTAACAGAGAAGATGACATAATGGCTCCTCAACATAAATGGTGTTTAAAACTACTCAAGAATAGCTTTAAGGTAGTGCATAAGAAATAAGATTCCAAAACCAGAGGGCTACGGAATTAGCTTTGTAGAAGATGCAGGATAAAACTTAGAGAAGCAAATAAGGTTTCAATTGGGCAGTGGAGTGGAAATATGAGAAGAGAGTATGCTTAGTGTGAAAGAATGTTTAGAGTCAGGGAGTAGTTTTTGGCTTCAAAATATATCAGAGCTCAAGAAGAATAAAAGGAAGGTTTGTCCAGGAGGACAGTTGAAGCATTGAATGATATGTGAGCAAATTATTACTGAATTTTATTATAAGAGCAAAATAATCTGTGAGGTTTAGACCTATCCTTGTAGCTATTTAGAGGACAAAACTCATAATTGATGTAACATTTTTTAACTTTTGTGCTTTATAGCTGAGACATAACGTATTTTATAGCAGGTAACAGTCACAGCCATGTAGACCTTCTTATGAAAAATGTATAAATCTAACTTGTCTAAAAAGCTACCATGACAAAGGTAATAATATTTGAAAAAGCATATTCCTCTAAAGGAAAACTTATTAGAGGAACTATTACTTTCAAATAGTTGTTTGATTTATAAAATAGTGGAGAAAACAGTTTCTTATTTCTCTAAAAAAATGACAATTTAATATTTAGGTTTCATTGTGTTGAGAGGTACCTGGTTATTATTTTGTAGGTGCTCTTTTTTAAGAAAAGAAGTGAGTTAAGTCCAGGCCTCTAAATTTGGACTGCTCTTTGTTGTAATTGAAAAATATCTGAAGTAGTACATCAGTGATAGACTTGCAGACATATAATTCTCAGAAGGGAAATGAACAGATAGGACTTGCCATTGCAATTGTACAGACTCAGGTCAGTACAAACCAGTAAGCCTCATTTCTGTGCCTGGGAAGATCATAAAACAGATCCTCGTGGAAGCAATGTTAAGATACATACAAGAGAAGGAGGTGATACAAGACAGCCAGCATGGCTTCCCTAAGGGCAAATTGATCCTGGTCAGTTTTGGAGCCCTTCTGTGGTGGACTGCAATGCTCAGCAAGGGAAGACCAGCAGTGTCATCTACTTGGACTTCTGTAGGGCTTTTGATACAGTCCCATGTGGTATCATTAACTCCAAACTTGAGAAACTTGGATTTTAAGGGTGGACTATTTAGTGGATAAGGAATTGGCTGTATGGATGCAGACAGAGAGTTGTGATTGATGACTCCATGTCCAGGTAGAGGCTGTTGACGAATGGTGTCCCTTAAGGCTCTGTCTTGAGACTGGGGCTCTTTAATATCTTTATCAATGACACAGACAGTGGGATTGAGTGCACCCTTAGCAAGTTTGCAGATGACATAAAGCTGAGTGGTGCGCAGTCAACACAATAGAATGATGGGGGGGGACCTGGACAAGCTTGAGAACTGAGCCCATGAGAACCTCAGGAAGTTCAAGAAGTCCAAGTGCAAGGTGCTGCACCTGTGTCAGAGTAATCCCAGACATGAGTACAGACTGGGAGAAGAACGCATTGAGAGAAGCCCTGCCAAGAACGACTTTGGGGTTCTCATGGATGAAAAGCTGGACATGAGTCTGCAGTGCACACTTATAGCCCAGAAAGCCAATTGTGTCCTGGACTGCATCAAAAACAGCATGGCCAGGAGGTTGAAGGAGGTGATTCTGCCCCTCTGCTCAGCCCTTATAAGACACCACCTGAATTACTGTGTCCAGTTCTGGGGTCCTCAGCAGAGGAAAGATGTGGACCTCTTGGACTGAGTCCAGAGGAGAGCCATCAAGATGATTAGGGGGCTGGAGCATCTCTGGTTTGAAGACAGGCTGAAAGAGTTGGGATTGTTCAGCCTGGAGAAGAGAAGGCTCCAGGAAGAGCACATTGCAGCCTTCTAGTGCCAAAAGGGAATTAGAAAAAAAGAGGGAGAGTAACTTTTACAATGACAGATAGTGATATAACAAGGGGGAATGGTTTTAAGCTAAAGAAGGAGAAATTTAGATTAGATGTTAGGAAGAAATTCTTTATCCAGAGGGTGATGAGACACTGGAATAGGTTGCACAGAGAAGTTTAGATGCCTCCGTTCCTGGCTTTGTTCAAGGACAGCTTGGATGCAGCTCTGAGTAGCTTGGTCAGTGGAAGGTGTTCCTGACAATGACAGGGGAGTTGAAACTAGATGGTATTTCAGGTCTTTTCTAACCCAAGCCATTCTATATTTCTGTTATTATTTTTCTTTAAGGAAATATGTTGTAAAGTGGATGAACACCCTTTAATTAAAAAAAGGACACTGTAAGTGAAAGACTTGATGTCTTTCTTCTTACTTTAATTAAAGTAAGATTTTCTGTTCTGCATTTAACATGGCAGCAGACATCTAGAACAAAGTTAGCTGGATTGAATTCAGTGTTAAAAATAGAGGTGGCTTTGCTAATCAAGTACTGAAGGAGAGCACCAAGAAAAAAAGAACAGATTGATTTGTTATATTAGAAGGTTATCATTAGAGTATGTGAAAGTAAAACAGTAGCTAACTATAAAAAAAACTTTGCTACTTTCAGAATTGCTGTCCTACATATAAACATGCCTCTATGGAGATCCATATAATAGGCTAAGCTGTGACGTTAGATGACACACAAAGTATCTTTCATTCATAGAATGGCAAAGAGGAAAGACGCACAATGTCCATGTCCAATGTGGCACTGCACTGGCAAAAATGAAATGCTTGCATCCAATTTATGCAATTTATACTTCCACAACAATATGAAGTTTCTGGCTACTGTCATCTCTGCCAGTATTTACAGTCAGTGTCACTGTGACTTTCTTTAGGATATATACTGCAACATGTTTTTCTCATGTCTGGTACCTTGTTTACTAAAAGAAAATTCAGACATATAAATATAGAATAAAGAGTTCAGACAGAACTAATAAATTAGTCCTAAACTGGGAAGCAATTTAGAATCAATTAATATCTCTGCCTCTAGTTGTCTGAGTAAATCAGAATAAGTAGGTCTTACCTGAGCTTTCAGTGGTAGGCATAGCCGATGTACTATATATATATATCCATATTCCTTTTGATGACTTTGCTTGTCCCCCTTCGGGGGAGAAAGATGTGAGAGTTAAGAGGTGTAGCTTTTTGAACCACAGTAATTATTACATTAGATGTGGACTGAGGTTGTGAAATCTTGGCATTGTTCATCTCTCACAGAATCCAAATATGATAAGACGTGAGGCCAAACATGAAATATCTGAAATTTACATTTCTATGAAAAGAAAATTTTTAATCCATCTACATTCAGTTCAACTGCTAGAAGTAAGAGAGTGAAGTGGCAAAAAAACCCAACCTCCATGTTATATAAACTTACAGGTTTTATGCTGGTACCATAGCATTTATCAAGTACATCTTAAATCGCCCAAAATCTAGGTTTATAATGTAATATAGGCAGGGAGTCATAGTCCACAGAAAGATAAGACAGACAGCTGAGAGGAGCAGTTCTGTCTGTCTTAAAATAGATGTCTGAATCATGGAAACAGACTACCCCAGCAAGTGCCTATCAGAATTGTCTATAGCAGGAGCATAGCTGACCAGTTTAAGTCAGCAAGCAGCCCTCTGACAGCTCAAGACTAGTTAAAAGACTTCTTTCTTAATGTGCCTTGTTAAACTCTGTGAATAATTCATGACAAGTTTAACCTTCATTTGTTGTCATAGAATGCTCTCCAGTAACTTGCCAGGTTTTTAAATACATAGCTTTTTTATCCTTTAATTACAGTTTTGAGGTTGGCAGTTTTTTGTTAAATATCAAACACATTTTGTACTTCTGAGTGTTCATATGAAGTGCTTGTTTTTTTCTTTCTTCTCTCTGTACCAGCCACATTAAACCTTTGGAGTTTTCCATATCTCAAAAACAAATACGAGTGGAAGAAGAATAGCAAATTTTATAACAATTTTTGAAACACAAATGTTATAGAGGTGTAGTTCCTCTTCAAGAAAGGCTTTGTAGCATAATGAATAATTTAGATTTAATTGTAGTTTCTGACATTTTTCTGAAGGACTTAGAAGTATGCCATTCTACCAAACAAGAGTCTTATCCGTGTCTGACTCATGGTCCCATACCTGTGGATGCCAAGTTTCCAATGAAGAACACGGAGAAATACACTCTTCTCTTTTGTGGAGAACTGTGCTCTTACACTAATGTAAATGTCCCACCTCAGATTTGCTTTCAGGAAGACTTTCTGGTAGTGAATGTTGATTGCTTCACTACTTCCAAAAAGACAAAATGTTACAAAAACATTCAGTTTAGAGTATGGGAATGCTGTTTTGCTGATAATGTTAGAGTTTTGTTCTACACAAGAAAAGGTTAGGGAAAAAAAGAACTTTAGTATAAAAGATTAGCTAACATAATTAAAATTTAAGCCTATGTTAAAATTTTCAGGTTGAACATACAACTTTTGTCTTCTTGAACTGGTGATCTATTTTGCATTCTTGAAATAAACAGGTAGTCTTGGAATGGTGGTATTCCTGAGTGTGTTCCAGCCTTCTCTCCTTAATCAGAGATTGATAGTCAGCAGAACTGTCCAATTCTTCTGAACAAGATGATGATGGAAGAGGGTACATCTTACAAAATATCATTGTTCTCAACTGGTGTTCCTGACACTTAACAGTAATTTTGTCCAGAACCAGCTCTAATTATGAAATCTTTCTAAAAGGAATACAGTTCTCTCTTGCTTTTCCTAGCAGCCACTGCTTCATTAACAAAAGGGAAAAAAGGTTACTGTTTACCTTTCTTTTAGCCTAAAAGACTGACATATTACTCTTGGAAAACATAGCTACTGCTTAATTCCCCACTAAGTTAAGTATGAGCCACAATATTTATTCTTTAAGCAACTATTTAGCTAAGAAATTGCAGTTCAAGTTTGTGGGGAGCTAATAGTTGAAAAACAGAAGGTCTGATGGAAACATTGATAGATTTTCCTTTTAACTGTGTAATTAGTGCTGTAATTATTGCAGTATGCCCATTAGAGATGACAAAAAGACTATGTTTTTATAATGCAAACCATATTTTTGTATATCTATGTGTTCATATATATACATATATATATATATATATATGCACACACACATACATATATATATATAGGTACACCCATGGTTAAGTATCTGGGGGGATTTTTTATTTTTATTTTAAAAAAAGAGAAACACAGCCCAACACACTAGGCAGTCTTAGCTCAGCTCAAGTTCAACATCTTCCAGAGGGCTAGTAATTTTAGGCTATTCACTGTTATGCAGTATTAATGCAACATTAGTTGGCATTATTTATTCTAACTTAATCATAGATGTAACCATAGACCACAGCCATAGCTGATAGCATGAGTTTACAGTTTGCCTAGAATATAATGTTTGTCAGAAAAAAAAGTTGTGTTTTTTTTTCTTTTGTGTCTCTAACAATGAAGTTTTACACAGATACTATCTTTATTTCTGCATCCGAGTCTATGTGGACCAGCAATGATCAGTTAATACTGAGACTGATAATATTAATAAAAAAAATTATTAAATCAAATGAGAATTAGGCTGGAATAAAGGCAGAAGGACATGTTTTCAGCCTGGCATATATCAAGAACTTAACTATGTCAGGGAGTGAGGCACTGTAAGGCCTATCTCTGAGACATGTCTCCTCCACTGCTTATGGTACAGCTCAGGGAGCAACACCTGACAGTTTCAAAGATCAAGCATTTTCAGAGCAGGCATCATGTTAGAATAGAGTATTCTCACAGCAGGCCCTATTTGTTATTCCACCTGTGAGGAGTTTTGCACATTTGATTCTGGGTAAAGCCTTTGTAGAGCACATACTAACTTTATTTACACTGCAACCACTGAGCAAATAAACCATATTTATTCTTAAATTGGGTAGCTCAATCCATGTAGCGAAGTAGATATAGAAAGGAAACACTAGTGACGTATGTTGCAATTCTTCTGTGCCTTTTGGTTTGCCTTTTTCCATTCTAAAGAATTCTGTGCTGTAGTTATTATTACATTTTGTAATTCTTTTACTTATGCAGTTATGTATACCTTTTTCCTCCTGTTACCTAGATGGAATAACAGAGATTAATTCTCTGGAATTACAACCCTACCAAAGGACACTTTTAAAATAATTTGGTATGTTGAGCAGTGGTAAAATCTTCAGGTGGGTCAAAAATTTACTTCTCTAATTCTCTGATTTAATGCTTGTTTTTGAAAGACATCTTCTGATCCTACAAATCCATTACTACTTCTCAGACCCACCCATGCAGGTAATACAAGAGCATCTTGTTAATCTTTTCTGTCGTTCCTTTTGTTCTGCAGTACAGGACACAAGAGCATAATCTAGTGCTATGAATGAACTAGAATGAGCTGTGCAACTCACAGTTTCCAAAACCAACTGGTATGGTTCTTAGCTTGTGAGAAAATGTTTTGTACTGTGGAATATGTGCTCCTAGAGATTAGAAAGGTTGGGTTCAGGTTTCAGTTCATATTCTTTATATGTTGAAAACTATATTTCCATTACTGTGTAAACTGGAAAGTATATATGAAAAAAAGAAAGATGCAGACTGTGAACAAGAGCAGATGCAATAGTAGCTAAACAATAACAGGGATAGTCCTGAGTGAATGAGCCCAACTCCAAATTTTTAAAAATATTTTAGTAATCCTTCCTGAAAAAGATCATAATGAAACTAAGATTGCATATCAAAAGGCAGCAGATTTTTTATAGCTTTCATTTTCTAATGTGTATTCCAAACAACACACTTAAGAGCCCATTCATTATTGTCTGAAGGCTTGAGATTGTGAATCCATTTCTTCAGCTTGCGCACAACAGCAATAATAACCTGCCACCTATTGCATGTTTTCAGTTCTTTGATATCCAAGTGCTATTCAAGCAGCAGGATATGGGTTATCCCTGTTTTACAAACAAGGAAGACAAAACTAAGAATGTTTAAGCAAATTTTCCATACCCTCAAGACAAAGATGTTCCCAGCCATGGAACAGAACAGTCAGTCCTGTGCCTCATTCCCTAAGCCATGCTTTTTGCAATTCATTTTAATTTTCAATTTTGTGCAATGTAACACTGGTTTAATTCTATTAGTTACTAATTTGAAGATAAATAACTAATATGTAAGCATCCTCAAAGTGGGTTGAATCCTGCACACTTTTTAGTATTGGTGTTATAATTATTTTTGTATCTTTTTTTCCTTAGACAGTTTAATTATACAGTCAAATCCTCATTCCACTGACAATACATGCAGACAAAAAAATATTGTAGCTTTTCTTGCTGCTTTTATAATAGTGTATTTAACAGTACCAAATAGCTTCATCTTTTAGTATTTTCATTAATTTAAAATCTTTTCTTGCTTATTTTCATTATACAGTCAGCTTTTGCCTTAACTGTGAAGGCAATCCAAAAAAACCTCCGCTCCAAAGCCTTTTTCCTGCCACCATAAAAAATAAAAGGATTCCAAAAAGAAAGAGAAATATTATTGTTTTTGTTCAACTTACAGAATTACATGTACAAATCAGCTATTTAAACAATGGCTATTCCTCTATTTATTCTCCTAATTTCCCTTAATTTTTCTCTCTCTTAATTCCTCAAATTATGAGAAATTGAGTTTTTATAATTGTCCCCATGTCAAACACTAAAATAAATGCTGCATCATCTTCTATAAGCACAATGGACTAATATGCTCTTATATTTATTTAAAACTTAGACAAAACTGCTATTGATGTTCATGTTAGCACAAGAGGTTTTAGGTATGAATTAGAAGCTATTGTTAACTGCCAGAGTTGGCCTAATGGGTTCTCTAGAAACTTCTTTGGACAAAAGGCTCCCTTTCTCATATTGACTATTAAGAGATTTTTTTGATTGACTTTTTTTTTTTTATCTTCACCAAAGTCAATTTATGAATTTCAGATAAAACTAACATTCCCTGGAAGGCTACGAGCTCTCCTTCCTAGTGATAGACTCCTTTTTTTTGTAGGAAGCCTATGCTTCTAAGGTTGCTACCTGAGGACAGGCTCTGAATTGGCCGCTTGGATTGTATCTGCTTAATATACATTTCAAAATAGTTGAAGTTAGTAGGCACTTGGGTGGCACAAGTTTATTTTTAAGGAGCTGAGGATGGAGACTAAAAAAGAAAGCGTGTTCATAATGGGTGTTAGTATTTAGTTAGTGAGATGGAGATCTGCAACTCCATGAGAACCTTTTTCTGAATCTGCATTTAAAAACACTACCTTAATTATTTAAGTACTTGAAATTAGAGTGTATTCCTATTGTATAGTAATATTTAATATCTAAATATGCTACAGTATAGTTCTACTTAAATGTCTGTTAACTAGGAGTAAAAGGCATCATCTTGACTGTTATGCTGTTGAGAACAAATCATCCTGAGATATTTACTTTGTGGCACAGCAGAAATAGTTTTTGAATATTCCATTTCAGTATGATATTTTGAAATAACTTAGTCAAAAGGTTTGTTTTCCTTCGTTTTGTGTTCCTTCATTGATGTAGGAAAAATGTTTATATTTATAAATAATAAATAATAAATAATCAGATAAACTTAAAAAAATCAGCTTTAAAATGGCCAGCTATTTTGTAATAGCCCAGCACCTCTATTTTATCTGATTTTTTGGGGTTTGGCTTTTCTTCATAACCTATTCGATCTGTTAAAGGAATAAAAAAGTTTCATGACACGGTGCCTGATTTATGTGTACTTCTATAGATGTGTGACCTGCACAGTAACAGACCCAACTGTTACTAAAGGTCCCATGACTGTATGACCCTTTGAGCTAAATTTATCACAGATGCTTTTTCCACTCTTTGAAGTTAACATTTTGATTCCATGGGACTCTTACAAAAGGTCCTGTGCTAGTCACTAGGCAATATGTGAGAGATAGGTGCCAGAAAACATGAAGAACAGAATGCTTAGCAATATTAACATTCCTTCTGCTGTTGTGGAACACTTTATATGCAGATCACCAGCAAAAGCCTCCAGAGCAGTTAGGATCTTTCCTGGTGATATACAGTGTAGTTGCTAATGTATTTTATTGTACTGTTATAAAATAAAGTGCAAGGGTTATAGAGAGCCTTACACACTTTACGCACATTCCTATTTGATGAATTGTTTGATACTTTGATGTGTAGCCTGTTTATCATATTTTCCATTTGCCAAGTCTATTTAAATTTTATAAATACAATTTTTAGTGCTTGCTTTCATTATTAACCTAGCTGCACTACCTTCAAAACTTATACACTGGAACACTTGTAGAGACTGTACAAAGGAATGGCTATTACGCATGTAACCGCTTGTTCAGCAATAAATTTGCTC